TGTATTTTTATGTAATTGAGTCAAAAATTTACACTGAGAATATTTTTTTAGTTTTTATTAAATAAAACAGCTGTGTATCGCGTTAGAATTATTAATCCAAAGACACATTTATATTCTATTTAATCCAGGGAACTCAACATTGCCAGTTCTCAAAACCCAAATATCATTGAAACGTAGCAAAAAGTTGTAAGTAGTAAAAGACTTAAATTAAACCCTACTACATTTAGATAGGGTTCTTTTTCGAACACACTTATACAATTATAGCTAGTTGCATTAGCTACATTTTGTTATTTATAGGTCACAAAAGACGAAAGATGGCGTTAAATCATGACTTATGTGACAGAGTTTTTCATCGAATCCGTTGAGCACTTGGCAAATGCACCTTATGTAATTTAAATTTTATAAATATTTGTATTGTTAAATTATTTTATATCTCTAACAAAATACACACTGATTTTTTTAATATACTATCTTGACAAAAACATGGAAAATTTTTATTATATTATATGTATTCTAGATTGTTCCGTCAGCCAATTCTAAAATCATACAACGGACTTATCCGCTCAACCGCCACTTTATACCGCCGAAACGCAGATAGAAAAATATTCGTATCTCTGTTTTTCCAAAGAGAAAAAGAGAGATGGTATCATGTTTTTGTAAAGGTGTTTCTGCAGTAAAAACGTTCGGTTAAAGAATATTTGGGTCAAACAAGAATGTAAAACCTGGCCTCTATCAATATGGGAGTCATCCAATGACGTCATCGCATACATGGCGACATTAATAATTTATGCGTTTCAATAAACCTACAGGCGACAAAAATATTCAGTCTCATAATACCAAATGACGCGTATGTTAATCTTACAATATTATAAATACGTATGACTATGTGGATAGATGTATGGATGGATGGATAGATGGATGGATTTTTATTTAAAGGCATCACCAGAACAGCTGAACAGATAGTGATGAAATTTGGCATAGATATAGAACATAGTCTCGTAGAACACATAGGTTACTAATTATTTTTTTTTAATTCCGCGCGAACGGAGCTGCGGGCGACAGCTATAATTAATATTATCAACGTTTCAAATGCATATTAACTCATATCTCAATAAGTCAAAAAGTTAAAGGTTATTGTATCATAATATTAGTGTTATTGCAAACAGTTATATTTACAATATTATAGAATTAGGTTTCGTTTTACAATAATTACGAACTCTTTATCTTCATTTATTTTTAATGCCATTAAATATACTGTTCCATGTTTAAAATAATTAAAAAAAATTATACCTGGTAAAGAAATACGCGGCAAGGATTGACAGCCATACGTCATTTTCCAAAACAGTCAGAAATTTGAACAACGAAGTAGGAGTTCTTGGTAATTTCATCATGATGGTAATCCCGACCAAATCGTAGTAAGGCACAGTAAAATCGACTACGTTTTCCCTTTCCGCCATAACAGATAAGGACGTTAATCCTATATCAGCTCGTTTTTCAATCAATTCCTTTATAATTCCGTTCCAATTCCCGTTCTCGTCCATAGTGCCAAAGTTACCGTCCGGTGATAGAGTGATTTCATAATCGAATTTCACAATCTGACGGATTTCTTCAATCAGATCAATGCAGTAGCCTTTAAATCCCTTTGGTGCTTCATCGTCTCTTAATATGAATGGTTGTTGCTAGAAATTTAAACTATTCTTCAAAATTATCCTTTGAAACACTACAAATTCACGACATCCAATACGAGAGTCTACTGTGTGACACTCAAATTTAAAGTTTGGAAATGGACGGTATCTTGAAAAGTCATTTCTTGAATTATATTAATGTTACTTTTGCAAAAAAATTATAATTAAAGCGTTAAAGAACCATAATGATAAATAATTATAAATTCATGAATTTGGAAGAAATAATTCTGAAAGGTCTTGCCACAGGTAATGCACACAAAATGGCGGGCAAAAACCGGACTTTTTCCTTTTAATATAATTAACCGTAATTAACCATAATATAATTAAGCATAAACATAATGATAACTATTGATATCGGTTAGCGTAACGTTGAGAATGTCACAATTGTTTACGCAAGTGTTAAACAAACGTTGTACTGAATTTTATCAAGTTTTCATTTCAAACAATAGCAGAGTTCATTACCCACCTCCATGGTAACAATTCTATACACGAGTTGCGCTGAGTAATCGCTCATGTTATCAGCGTCGGTTAAGGTGAGGGGATTAGAAAGACCCGCCTTCCAAGACCCGAGGTTTCTGCTTCCAATCGAAGCGCCATCTTTGACAGTGACAGCTGACAAATCCGTACTAAATTCCATAAAACTTCTACCATTCATTGGGTCGTCTTCTGGTATGTAAAACGGCGCGTACGTTGGTGTTTCCTTTACCTGCAATTTTAAGCTGCTTATTTCGGAAACTACGGCAGTTGCTTGTTTACGAATTGAACGACAAAAAAGCAAACTCTTGATGTATTTATGCTACAATTCTATATTGTAATTGACCATTCGAAGAATAAAAAAGAATTCTAATAAAGTTTTTTTATTTTCCTTCCTCATATCGAGGTCTTAAGAAACTTAGGCAATTTGTTGTAACGTTGGAAAATTTTGAAAGAAACTTAAACCTTGTGTAAATAATAATTAAAGACTTCAACTTATTTTTCATGCTTATCAAATACGCTTTAATGTAAAACTGGTTTTCTAATCCTCATGCTAGGCTAATTGAATGAATATCTAATTATATTATAGTGACAACATGATATAAATTTAAATGACCCTGAAATAACAATTGAATGCTGTATTTTACATGGTGAGAGTGGCAACACTATGTGACTTTCAGCCAACAATAAAATTAACTTTGTATTAATTTCTGAACCTAATTTACTTGAGCCATTATTCACCCCGATATTTTTTTATTTATAACGAAGTGAACCATATTAAAAAATAAGTTTTTTGAGAGCTGCACTTTAAGGTCTTTGTTCGTATGGTCGTCTGACGATTTTTATTTTTGATACATTCATGTTACGGTAAACTAAATAACGCACCTCACGAAATGCAGTTTTGAGATCCAAGGTCCTGTTAGGAGTATTCTTACCGTCGTAATCGTCACAAGTTATATATTTCATGTCGTTTGGCCAATTGCCAGAGTCCAGGAGTGATCTGGAAATTCATAAGTGAAGTCATGGAATAAACCGGGATATAATTAAACACTCCGCGTGCGCGTTGAACTAAATACAGATTAATGCGAGTACGCGAGCTTTAAAATAGCTAAGGTCATTACTTGACTGCTAAAAACGTCCGGAGAGACAGGTCGAAGTAAAAAGCGGCCGTTATCTCCGGCTCGCCGTTCATGCTGTATGTCGTCTTTATTTTTCCCAGACGATCTCTGCTGTTGGCATCTGGCGTTGGTCTCATATAAACGATAGTGGCATCTTTACAGCCGCAGCTTATATCACCCTTGTCTAGCGTGAGCGCGAACCACGCCGTCTTCCTGCCGAAATATTGATTTTCATCGGCGGCGTCTAGAACGTTCTTTATGGTTCTCAAACTGCCGACGATGAAGAAATTGACCACGTCTAATTCGCGTAGACTACGCAGCTGAGTTTTTATGTCTTCCTTGCTGAAGCTTTTGACGGGTGTTATCACGTGACGAGTTGGAATATTTTGAAGAAGCGATTTATATTTGTGATCCATAACTGTAAATATACCTTATTTTAAAATCACCCATTACTTTCATATCGTACTACATGATGCATTGTCCGGTTTTTCAACTTACCAAAATACTCATCAAATATGATTGCAGCATTCGTTATATCTTGCTTTGTCACAACGGCTCTTATAGACTCCGGTAGGATATCTGCAGGGGGCATGACTTGCAAAAGATATTTTGTTTGGTTGACATTCAAAGAGCGCCACTGTCGCAAATCACCGGTTTGTCCAAACGATCCAGAAATAGTCGGCAGCGCCAAGGCCGCAGTGAACGACTTTATGGTTTCAGAACCGACTCCCGTCATAGTAAAGTCGAGGACCACATGGGGAGTCTTTTGTGCAGATAGCATGTCGTTATATTTTGTACAAACTATAAAAGAAAGTGTACTAGTGTAGTAATTAGTAGAAAAATATTATATTTATTAAGCAGGTTTGGTAAGTCTTACCATTTTCTAAAAAAGCCTTTGCGTCAGTACGATTTCCAACAACAATCACTGGATCTATGGCCAAGCCTAACATTGGATTGCGTCTTACATACTCCTTCGCCACTTCAAAAGATTTTTCAGCCAATGCGTTATTCTCCTCGTTAATTAACACTATAAAATTAGCATTATTTTATGTCTTGTAATTATTTTATTATAACAAAAGTTATTATTTAGATACTTACGTATATTAATATTTTGTGTAGTCTGTGAAAGCGAAAAGTAAAAGAGCGGGAAAATTGCAAATAATAGCAGAAGCACCCGCATTTTCAAGTTTTATGCTTCTTTGATCAATTATCTTTAATGCATAATTTTTATTATTACATCGTCACGTCTCTGTTCAGACACCGGAAACTTACTGAAGCGATAGTCTACTCGAAAAAAAAAACACGTGATGTGTACTGTCTAGTATCCAAGGCGATGACCGTCCTTGATTCACCCTATAGTAAATTGACATATTCCATTCTCATCACTAAAACATATTTGTACGCGCCATTTAAACAATAATTTAAGCGGTGATGTTGTTATAGCCTTGTAGGTATTGAAAGATATATCTATATTGTTTTATTTTTTAATTAAAAAAAATCTTAGTTATATGTTAGCACCGATATATCTCGATTTTACTCGAAATTGAATAATAAGAAAACTGGATACATTTCTAATGGCAATATTGAATGTCAATGTGTAATAAGGGTTGATGGTAAAGAATGCTTTGATAAGCATCGGTTGCGACAATAATCATTCATATTTTATACGATTGTGAATGAGTAATGTATAATTATATAATCATAAACAAATAAGAAAACAATATCATTCATTGGACTATTTTATTTCCAGAAAATGTTTATAAATACAAACTCTATATAGAGCCGTGTTCAAAATGTACACTCTACTATAAATTCTAGTACTAAATTACTTTGAATCAAATTTTCAGTTTGAACAATACAATATAATGTCAAGTATGAAAAATTTAAAAACGTTATATCCCTTAATGCAGTACAAATTGTTAATATATCAGAATACAAAGTAGGAATCCAATATTTATAAAAGTCGTCTGAAAATCCTTATGTTTATTATTATTAGCTATTGAAAAATTAACTCAGAGAAGCGAAATAAATTAAAAATAAAGAAATTAGAAACATATATAGAACCATAGAATAAAAAAAATAGCACACAGTATTAAACGTCAGTATGAAACTATCACCTTATTTGTCAACTTTGAACTTTTCAATTTCAAATCTTATAATTAGCGTTGCAAAGTGAACATGTTAAAATTAACTCCAATGCTTAGGAAGTAAAAGTACCTCGGGCCGGTGAAGTCTCTCAACCGGCACAATGGAACTACTTTTTGCTCGTTCACAATGCAATCCGTAACCAAGTCAAGGAATGTTTTAATGGTTAAGTAATAATGCCTATGTAATATATGTGCGAAATTTAACTGCTAACTTAAAGTAAAACTGAATTATCTAGAACTTGTTTCAATCTTATTTCAACTAAAAAAATCAAAAAACATAAGCTGTTTGTATAAAACGCATCGTTCACAGAACGGACTTTGTGAGTTGTTTTCACTTGTGGGTGAACTTTGGCAGTATTGTACTGGTGTAAATACCAATAAACTTGTTGCGTTTTTTTAATACTTCAAATTCACTCTTACGTCTGTAGAAATAAGACAATGTTACACGGAAACAGCACAACACTGAATCAAATTAGTGTCATCGGTTCACTGCGATGCACATTTACAATGTGACTAACATGAATCAATAAATTTATACACTTTACAGGTACTTTGCAGGTAAGTTAAATACAAAAATGTATTAGACGCAGGGAAGTGTATCCAAAAAAATTTGGTATTCTCAGGAGTAAATGAGGTAAAAAACATTGACATTCTTTTGAAATGCATGATAAAACAAAAATTATTCAATTACTGTTTTATCTAAAATTGTTATATTATCTTTTGTAATAGGAGTATTCCAAGTTAAAAAATTTAATTTAATTTCAACCCGTCTGTTACCCCTGAAAATGAACACTACCAATATTTTTAGTCCAGCAAACATCACTAACCATATGAATTGTACAAGTCCTCATGTCTCAAACATTCAAATATTCTGAGATTACTATTCATCGGATACTTTTATATCTTACATATAAATAACCTAACGTTAGTGCGGTCGCGATAGAGCTCAACTCCGTTATACTTAAATCAGATCAGCTAGTAAAATCTATACGAAACTATTTCTTTACATCTGTAAATAATTCAAGTTCTAAGATATGCACGTTAGAAGTTGGGCTCTAAGGGACAGATGCATTGCAGTAAACCAAATTCCTAATGTTGAAGGCTCTAAGCCTTTGCTTCCTCTGCTTCAGGAGCCTTTTCCTCCGAAACCTTAGCTTTCTTCTCTGGTGTGCTCTTTTCAACTGCATCACCATTATCCGCTGCAGTTGATTTCCTCTTTACACCAGCTTCCTTAACTTCTGAAATAAAAATGATTTTTAATAAAAATTTAATTTAAAATTAAAATTTAGATGAATCTGAACATTGATTGTTGACAGTATTAAAATTTTTATATACCTGTGGCATCTCCATTTTCTGTGGCATCATTACTTTCTTCCGCGTCCCCGTTGCTTTCTTCCGCATCGCCATTTTCTGCTGGGGTGTCTTCAGCGGCTTTTTCGGCACCATTCTCCCCTTTGCCGTTGCTTTCCGCGGCTTCCGCAACCTTCTTTGCTGGTGATTTCTTCACCGGCGATTCTTTCGCTGCTTCAGTAGAAGTTACCTCTTCGGGCGCAACTTCCCTGAAAGCAGAAATTCGGAATTTAAAAAAGCCCGATCAGTAGACTGATTTTTATATACACATCAGCGACGAGAACGGTACCTTGCAATATTGTTTCTAATAATAACCGAATTTAATTAGAAGATGAATTAGACACTTAAATTACTTGAGAAAAAGCTCTAGCTTTAGATAAAATTGCAAAAAATATCGAAATGAAATCATTATTAAAAGACAACCGACCGATTAAAAAAAAGAGCAATATTTTATTCTTATTATAACTATTATTTAAAAAATTCTTATTCAAATTGAAATTAGTTACTAAATTCTAATTTGATAAAGTTAAAATCGATTAAAACAAAAAAAAAATCCTTAAGTATCAATTATTAGTACGTGTTACCATTGTAACATTAAAATAAATGCGACGAAACAAAACAAACGAATCTTGCATAAGGTCTACGTTACGAGAAAGTTACAAGGCACGCACAACGTTTTATTGAATGAATATGTTACACTCGCTTCACTAGGTTACGATGCGAGATCAAAAGGGTTAAAAATAACTAATGACAACACGAACACGTCCCTAGCGATCGGCGATAACGTAACCGCTGTACCTCCATCGAGTTGCAAAACATGCGATGGCAAAATTTGAATCAAGCGCGCCAATGACGCCGTCGCGTCGCGCCGGCACGCCGCGCATACAGCGCCATCTTGAACCATACGGTCCCGCGCTCGCAAGCGTGCTTTCAATTTCCCCGCTCAATGTAACGCAATAAATTTCCACTTGGTCATGAAAATTCAGTGGAAATTATTGATACAATAACTCAGCATTAAATTTGTTTTTAAAAAACCTAAAATTAGCGCTAGATACAACCCAAGGACTTTTCCCGCGTGTATCCATAGTCGGCGTCTAACTAGATAAACATCCGTAAACTACAAATATTCATTATAAACACTATTGTATAGATCATTCACAATATGCATGTGGCCACTAGGTTATGCTCAATTGATTATGATTTAAAAAACGAATAAAACAAAGTAAAACATTGTAATATTGGAAGCCATTTTGATCACGTTTCCGTAGCCGCCAAAAATATATTTGCAAAAAAAATACTTTTAATAACACAAAAAGGTTAAAATAACTTACTTCTTGTCGACGGCTGCGTCTGCCATATTTATTTTTGGTATAAGGAAAACTGTGTATTGCAAATAATTATTTATTTTATTTTATAAGCACGTGCCACGACAACGCAAAACAATGTTCACCACACAAACACCGCCGACCAAATGAGGGAGGAAGAAAATATCGTCCACTCGGTTTCACAGCGTCTCCCGTTTGGCACGAACTTCGTGCACGAAGATCACCTTATGAAATAAATATATACTACAGTAGCGTGTAGAAAAGAGATGACTATAGAATTTTGTTCAACTGCAGACAACCTTGAACACCTTGAGTACAGTTTGCAAGCAATAATCTACCTTGCTCTGTCCTGTTTCAAAAACATAATCGTTAAATGTACCATAACGCAGGAAATGCCAAGAAATAATAAATATCTTTCTGTATTTTTTAATTATAAAATATATTTTCAAAACCAATACCTGCGATTAATTAAATGTTGTATTACAATAACGTTAAAATAATGTCAAAAACTACAAAAAGTAGTTAAGTAAAATTTTGTAACATCTATAAGAATTTTTTTTGTCCTAACATTAAAATTAAATAATTTCGACAGTAAATACGTAATTCTACATATAATATTTATGTAAACACTTTTGAAATTAATTATATTTTTGATCTCCAACCACGTAAGATACTTAAAATTCAAAGTCAGCCTCTGAATTTTAAAATTCGTGTAATTTTGTCAGTTCATTGACCTATTTATGTTTTGTGATACAAAGGAGGAAAGGGATTTAAAACGTACAGATCCATAAAATCTAAGTAGAAAATTACCTATTTATTTTTGATATTACAAGATTTACGTAAAAAAAAAAAGATTCAAACTGTCCGTGTAACTTTACACTTTTGTCTTTAAAAAAAATTCGATGCCCCTGATTTTTCAACCATATAGCTGTGACCCACCAGAATTTTTCAACGAAGCACTTTCAACTTTATTTCGATGTGACAAGGAAAGGTTTAACAAATACAAAATAGTAAGATCGTTTAGGTCGTTGGCTTTGAAAGAGCATCTTGGCACAAGCCGAACAAACAGTTCGTCAAATTTGAATTCGTTAACAAGAACAGTTCATCACACCGTTGGGCTTTTGAAATAAAACTCAATGGCTTCATGAAATGCTTCGTCATTATAAAATAAAAAGTATACGTTCGATACTTTAAAAAAATTTATCCTAAAGAAATGATAGTGAACTTTTATAGAACTTTTAGATAGAGACTGTTAAATTGTTTTTGCTGACACTGATTTAATTTGTCTTGGCTCATTGGTAATAGCTCATAGGTAGTTGACAGATAAAAATCACCATCTACTTTTCTTAACGTATGTCGAAGAACTATTTTTAACACGTCCAATGCCACAAACGAGCCTATATAGCCTATCCTTAAAACAGTTATCAGAACAACAGTGATTTTCTTAAGGAATGTTAAAAAAACAGTTCGCTGGTCATAGCTCACAACTGCGGACATGATAATAATCATCAGGTATCAAGGCGTTTTAAAAGTTGTTTTCTCTAGTCCGTTAGACAAAGTAAGAATTATGTAAAGTCCTAAAGATATAAAGAAGTAGTTAGGTGTATAACACGTTAAAAAAAATTGCTTAGCCGTCATCACTCCTATGTCTAAGATAAAAAATAGGTACAATATCTAAATATGTAAATAATAGCAAAGTTGTAACACCTCCATTACAAATACAACAAAGCGTGTTTTTAACCAATAAAACCCACGGAAAATCCTGTTTTCTATTATACTCGAACTTTCCAATTTTCATATTGAACGGTATTTAATTATTATTTATTTAAGCGAGGTATTTGTCCGTTGCTCACCATTTTTGCATTTTATAAGCGCGCGTAAAATTGTTTAGTTCTATATGTTGTATACTCACGTAATGCATTTTACTCTTGTGTGCGTTCGTGACGAAGCGGTCAGTTGTAAGGTTGTTGCGAGGTTACGCATTCCGAACATAAAACTTCACACACATAAATAAATGATCAAAAGCGCCTTTAAAAAACTAAGACCCGGACACAGAATAAAAAGCAATTTAACGTAGATTCCGGACTCCGGTATAATAAAAACCCAAGCAGGTGGCAACCCTAGTCTTTATACAGTAGAGTTAGGTATAAGTATTATATGCACTTGTGAATAGCTAGAACAATGCCTATGTGTACGCAAAGTTATAATAACTATAGCGTAGAAAATTCTCCGCGTAACAGTTGGAGGTCAAACGAGGAATAGCTCAAAATTCATTTATCATTTAACTAACTACTAAATTACTAAATAACAAGTTACAAAATAAATAGCAGAAAATAAATATTCAAATAAAATTTTTAGCCCGTGTGCACGAGTATTTTATAGATGCTGTCTATAGAATGCTCTATACAGCAATTTGAAGTATCTCGTTTACCGTTGATTTGCAAAATCAAAATCTCCGTAAAAAAAACATCATCATCTTTGTAATAATGTTTGACAAAATAGAAATAACTATATTTTTGAACGGGTATTTTGGTCCTAAAAATCCATGGTTAGTCATAATGTTGAAGGCTAATCATAGCCATAAACCCACGTTTTGAAAGCGTAGTGTTGAGGTTATTGATTCAGTACTTTAAGAAATCTATGTTCATATAACTAGATGTCGCTTTAACTTTTTGTCTGATTCTTGCGAGTTGTAAAATTCAATGCATAGATGGCGTCATTCCAATATAATAACCGAGTATTAAATTAAAATTGTTTCTAAAAATCTGAATTTCAATTAAAATATTATATTAACACTTGTTATTTGTTAATCAAATAATTAATGATTGTGTAACCACGTTCCACGACCCACCACTGTAAGTTTGGAACAATGAAACGTAATTAAGTAGGCTCCCTCTTGCCCGTTAAAGGGCAGATACCTAGTACTACAACGAAAGGAGACCGGGTCGTAATTTTTTTTTAATAAATATTAGAAAGATCAACATACTCCGAAATTAAGTATACCTACTATTTCAAAGTCTCTCAAATTATACTTATACACACGCTTTGCCTTGTTTTATAATTGTTGTTCATTTTTTTTTATAATGACATTTGATATTCGCCTATGTTCGTTAATTACATTGTTACTACTGTTATGTAGCATTGAACCCGCAGTTTTTACGATATTCCAACGCCATAACTAAAAGTGGCTGTTGCTAAGTCTACTTTTTCAAGGTTATCAGTACGAAGTCTATTAGCAACGTGTGAAAGAACGCCTAACATTACATTCACATCAACATATAATACCTAATACATGTAAATATAATAATAATTGTGTACTATCTGTTATTATTACGTACATTATAATATACCCGAATTGAATGTTATATATTTGCTGTAGTAAGCATAAGGTAATTATTTGTTTTCGTCTTTCACATGCCATATCATCAATTCTTACTAATTAACGTTCAATTAACTATGTAGGACGTTTTTCTAAAAGTAAACTTAGCATTCTGTTACAAATTTTTGCATAACAGTAGTTAATATTACATTTGTATTTGTACTCATAGATAAAAAATTGTTAAAGCAGGAGGTTTTTACGATATGATCTGTCTTTGGTTACAGGTATCAGGCAAGCTATAAATGCAGAGGCAAGCCATCCAGCTATGCTGCGCAACAAATTAAAATTATGACTCTCCTGCCATCTGCATCAAAAATGTGAAACTAACACCGAATGTTGCTAGCACAAAATAAAAACCTTTCTTGGTAGAACATTTTTTCAACAGATTTTAAAACTGAAAACGGCTTCGATCGAAAAACGGCGCTTACGCATTAAGCAATGTATTTCATACATACTAGGTTATTGAAAATATTATACATCTAAAGATCAAGTTCACTTTAACGACATGAAATTTAGTACAACTTTTAAGAGCTGTCAAATACTATACGTCTAGAAGAATACAATTTGGCTCCAATTTTTTAAATCAATAACTGGAATGTACTGGAAATAACTTTTGACCCACTTAATGTAAGGTCTGTATTTATATGAATTTATGTTTTTATAATATTGAATCTTTATAGATCTTTATATTAGTTTCATAAAATTTTGCAAGATTGCGGTGCAGAAGACATTAGTAAATACTTCAAAACGCCGTGTTTCCTTTCTGCCAGTCTCTCTGTTTTCAAGTATTACACTTATAGTAAAAATCGCGAAAGTTTGAAAATACTTTGTCATTTGAATAAAGTGAGTTACATTTTTCTCCTCTTTGTCAGAGTGTTGGTATTTCAGCTTCCGGGTGATCGAAGAAATTTCTGTACTATCCTTATAAAGGTTATAGTTTTGTGGTACACTTTACTAATAAACCATTACTCTTTCAAATTTGGGCTTTGGCACACTAATTTCAATTTATTTCTAGATCTGATCCATCGCGAAAAATCTGTCAAACACCAATGAAAATGGTTTCAGTGTTTTTTTATTACATTATCATTTCATTTTTAACACCATCTTTTAGAAAATATTTACCCACGAGATGTATATTTTAGTATCCAATTTTAAGAATCTATAAATAAAGAAAGCTAGTTTTTCTAAACCACCACTTTTCGCTGGTAAATACTTTACGGTACTACTTAAAAATTGCAAAATAAATTCGAACCAAATATTTTCAGTAGCCACTGGTAGGTTTCATAATTAGTCAGTAGTTTTTTTTGTATTAAAACGCAGCAACATTGTCAGAAGAGCCCCCTCCTCTGAGCAAATCGTTCGCTCGATCTCGCTCTGTCGATCGGGTCAGGTAGTGGAGGCCATTTTATTCTTGTGAATGTAACAAAGTATTTTTTGATTTTTTGTTCAAAAGCAATAGTGTAAATGTGTGCCTGCATTAAGTGGCTTTTGTGACGTGTGTTTGTGCTTAAAAATAGAGGATGTACGTGTTTCAAACGAAATTGTGTTGACCTGCCCATTTTTACACGGTCGCACAAGCAGGGATCGATTAGTGCAAGGCAGCCTCTAGTATCGAGGAATCGAGGCGTTGTAATAGTTTCTTAAGTCCGCCATGGGCAACAATGCTGCCACCGCCAACAAGAAGGTGGACGCCGCCGAAAGCGTCAAAGAGTTCCTCGACCAGGCTAAGGAAGACTTCGAAGAAAAATGGAAAAAGAACCCTACCAACACCGCCGGACTGAATGATTTCGAGCGGATCAAAACGCTCGGTACGGGTTCCTTCGGCCGCGTCATGATAGTTCAACACAAGCCCACGAAAGAGTATTATGCTATGAAAATATTAGACAAACAGAAAGTGGTCAAATTGAAACAGGTCGAGCATACGTTAAACGAGAAGCGAATCTTGCAGGCGATCAATTTCCCTTTCCTCGTAAGCCTTAAGTTCCATTTCAAGGATAATTCCAACTTATATATGGTTTTGGAGTATGTTCCAGGCGGAGAGATGTTCTCCCATTTGAGGAAAGTGGGTCGCTTTTCAGAGCCCCATTCGAGATTCTATGCTGCACAAATAGTGTTAGCTTTCGAATATCTACATTACCTCGACCTTATATACCGAGACCTCAAGCCTGAGAATTTGTTAATCGACTCCCAGGGCTACCTGAAAGTGACCGACTTTGGTTTTGCCAAGAGAGTAAAGGGCCGCACTTGGACTTTGTGCGGAACCCCCGAGTACCTCGCGCCGGAGATCATTTTGTCCAAAGGCTACAACAAGGCCGTGGACTGGTGGGCGCTGGGTGTCCTCGTCTACGAGATGGCGGCTGGTTACCCGCCGTTCTTCGCCGATCAGCCCATTCAAATTTACGAGAAAATTGTATCAGGTAAGGTCCGCTTCCCTTCACACTTTGGTTCAGACCTGAAAGATCTCTTACGCAACCTTCTACAAGTAGACTTGACAAAACGATATGGCAACCTGAAGGCGGGCGTTAATGACATAAAAGGGCATAAATGGTTTGCTAGCACCGATTGGATAGCCGTTTTCCAGAAGAAGATTGAAGCTCCTTTCATCCCTCGCTGCAAAGGGCCCGGCGACACAAGCAATTTCGACGATTACGAGGAGGAGGCATTGCGTATCTCATCAACAGAGAAATGTGCAAAAGAATTTGCTGAGTTCTGAGCGATTAGTTGGTGCCTGTACTTGAGCAGGCCCGAAAGAGAGAATATGGTATTTATGAATGGTCTGTGAATGTAGTCACAGCAGTGAAGTGTGCATTTTATTGCTCGTGGTCTTGGGTTATAGACGTTAAATCGCCCCCAAACTGTCTCATTCACATATAACTTGGAGTGCAAGCAACATGATAGGCGTACCGATTTCTGATATTTTGGTGGAGTTTATTTGCTTAGTGTCCTTTTAAGTCGATAGAAGAGTAGATAAGGAACGGTATTCCTTGTCTAAGTGATATCCCCACGATGTTTGTACCAATGGTGTAAAATACGTGATTTTGTGCACACAGTTCTAAATAGTTTTTCATTGTTTACCGTAGCACTGACAAGCTTTGACATATGTTTGTATTTTTTGTAAATTGATCAAAATTATGCTATGTTTATTGATGCGGTTTTTCTTCTTACTTTTAAGATATTTGTCATTTCATTGTTTAGTATGGATCGTAAGCTATTTCAGTCACATTAAAGCTTTAGCATTAAAATCAACTAATTATATGTATAACTAAGTCCTTATGGAATGTTTTAGTGTAGGTTTTAACTTTTTTTTTGACCTTTTGTTAATATTTTTAATTTATAAAATGTTTTGTTGAGACAATTGATATTTTAACTGCAAGATGAGAGATTAAATTATTTTTGTGTAGTTAGGTTCAGTTGTGCAAACATGTTTGTGATCTGATGTGAGAATATTTTGGTATTTAAGTGTAATTTGTATAGTTCCTTAATTATTAGGATGCAAGTTCATTCTGTTAATGAAATGAATGGCAGCAAAGTTTTATAATCTGCCATAACACTTATTGTTAACAACAGTTATCAAAAAGCAATAAATTTAGTAATTTTTATTCTATTAAAAATCAGTGTTCAATATACAATTATATTAAGCACAAAGTTAAAGAGAGAAATTTTTACATTTAATACATTCTAACGATTTATAGATATTGTTCCATATTTTATAGAAAATATTGTCATTTTGGCAAAGTTGCCGTATTGAAAATAAAATTTTCCTTTTTGTGTATGGGGCTGGTGTTATCAATAGGTGTGAAGTTAGTCTATAACTTTTGGCACAGCTTGCCAGCAGTCCTTGGAACGGTAATTACTGGTTCATCTTATTGTTTTTTTTTAGCTATTAGATGTAGGACTTTGAATCCAGGCTGTACAAATAATGATCTAGTTATTTGTAGTGAATTTTACATTGTGAAAGCATTGTGTGTTTGTGAATTAGAATCATTAGAAAGAATTTCCTCATGTTACTTAACAATTTGGTATGTATTCAGCTCATATCGCTAAAGAGAAGTACATAGCATTAGAATGTTCATATTTCATTTATATTCTCTAATAAATAATTTAAATATTAGTCATATCAGAGTTACTACTTAAATATTTATTCTAAAGATGTCCATATGTAGGTTTAGCATTTGACCAAACGCTTTGTCTATGTCTATGATATTTGTAACACATTAAGAGTTTAATAAATATTCTACACACTAAGTTTTTGCTTATTTCAATGTTGATGTCTTGAATTATGGAAACATTTTGATACATATTGAAAGTTTGTTTTGATATGTGAAGTAAATGTTATTTTGCAACTTAAATATATTGTTATACCGGTGCCATAGATGTTTTAGATGTCAATATGTAAATATATCTTTAAGGTATTTTTTTTTGTTAATTTTATTACATTAATATGATATTCCTGCATCACACCAGTTTACTGGCCGCTATTGCTTCAATATTTAAATGCACAGTTTGTAATTAGCTTTACGCAAACAAGTCAAACTGTTAGGAAACTAATTTAAATAAAAGTCTAAAATGTAATAATACTATACAAGAAATATATATGGTAAATATTAAAATTGACAGATAAAAAAATAGAAATATATTGTAGTTGATATTAACTACTAGACAATTGTGAAATCTTTAATAGTATGTAGGAGTTCAATGCTAATTGTTTTCTCCGTGAAATTTAAGGTAATCTAATTCTTATTGTTTTTCACTTTTTGTGCTAAAGCTCTTGATATTTGGTCACCATTTGGCACCAACATTACATGGAAATAAGTTTAATTTGAACAACATTAAATAATACTATCAAACAATCCAATGAAAAGACTTATATGTCATTGATTAAGTAGATGTAACTCTTTTCATTGTATATGTTGATATGTAATTTTGTTGGCTATCATTGTATATAAATCTAGTGTGAATGTGTTCCCATTAGGAGTTTCAATATCAGCTTTTCGGTATGTGCAAATCTTCATTCCATTAGTGACATTCATTTTTCATATCTGACACTATATTGTGAACTTAACCATTTTCAATTTAAATACATGTGACCTTTTGTGTAATTGAGATTGTTCTTTTATAATCTGTGTAATTTGTAATGTTAAAATGTTCACGTTTAGATCTATTGTATCGAGTGCCTATAGCATTGATTCAAATGTAAAAAGTCAGTTGATTTCAATAATTTGTCACCATGTATTGATCTTCCATAAAATTACGATGAAATTAAAAATATTGATGTAACAGTAATCATGTTTGTTTAATTTTTAAAGTAGCTTTACTATGCTATATTTTATGTTTATGGGTATTTAGAGGTATCCCCTTTGTATACAAACTATAACTATAAGTTGGAAGTTAACTATAGGTATGTATGCTCTTCTTTAGGCTTACTTAATAAGCAAGTGTAAGATCCAATATCCACTATACGACGATACTCGTTTTGGTGTCTCGTAAAAATTATGTGCCAGACTTCTGTCTGTCTATTTCTTAGGGAGTTTCTTTTTATAGTATAAGATGGAAAACGAAGGAGCGGTCACCTGAATTCGTCAAAATAGGGAACTGACCCCTGCCTATGAGATTGGCTTAAATCGATAATGTAGGGGACGCACAGAAGGATGATATTTTCCTATTCATCCAACAAATCAAGCGTGCATTCAATTTTCTTGCCTATGAGGAAAGAATGGGAAAGAGAAGACGAGTAAAATTAGGCCTTCGGCACACACGCTCAACAGACGAAACGCAGAATTGCTTCCAATTTACGCCTGTATTCTATATGATCGTGGTGTTCCACCGGTAGAGCAGGCCAATTTGCGCAACATGTATAATTGTTTAGGGCTCTATCACTGAAGTTTCTATTCAGTACTATACGAAACTACACATTACTGTACATACAATGAATACTTATCTGCATTATATTTATTTGGAAGTTTTCATATTGAAGAAAAGATATTGGCAACGGAAAATTTCGCAGCACATTTGGCAGTTACGTTGGAAGGGGCGACCGGGGAGAGTTAATATGCGGCTTCCTCATAAAATGAGTTAGCCAATGTCGGAATAGTCCCCCTGACGGTAAAACAATGGTTGCTCTTTTGTCCATCCATATAAAGTTAAGAAGGATATTTTAGAATTCATATCAAAACAAATCTATAGGAAATTGGAACAGTTCTGTTATGCAAATCATTGAAGAGTAAAGTGTTGACTACATTTTTAAGATTTTTATCGTACAAGAAAACGTGCATTTTGCAGTGTGAACTTTAAAACGTGTTGAAATTGTATAAAATTAACTGCATTCCAAAAAGTAAATACTTAAAATATGCAGCGTAGTAATAACATTTTTAGGTCAAATTCCTTCAACATATAGATAAAAACATTTGCTTGTTATGTCTATAAGTAGAAGTTAGTTGAATGACTTTGTCTTTTTATTATTTTAATTAGTAAATATATTTATAACTGATTGCTTCGTTCAAGCGGCGAACGTAACAAAATATCGACAAGTCAAGGTTGGATGTGAGGTCGAATAAGTTGGCGTTCACCGTCTCTTCGTTTTAATTAAGTATACTTTATAATACGATCTTTCAAAATAAAACAGGAAAGTTTATAATATATTTTTCAAGTAGTTGTTTCATATGATCGTGTGACTCAATATTCCACAGGCTTTGTGGGGAAACCTGTTAAAATTTATTTAGATCAACACAACTGGTCGCTTAACTTTACTTAGGAATATCAGGAAAATAAACATTTTTTGAGAAGAATAATCTGGTTTATAAATCTAGGATACACGGGCAGTTACAGTGTTTAGTTACTTTGAATTCGAGAAAATAAATTGAAAATCCTTAGTGTGTTCCTGAAGTGAATACCGTGCTAAGAATTACGGCCCTTACACAAATAAAACGGGACCCGACCTTTTTGTAAAAGGCATTTCAAGGTTATAAAGAGGCCATTACTTTTTCGTTTATATTTGGCGAATCCCTAAATTCCGAGTGTATTACACAATCCGCATAAGGCGAGCCAAAACTCGTCTTTATTCAAATGTACGTATGTAATTCTAACTAATTTTGCGTCGGTTTCAACGCCCACACTTGGATTGTTTCGGGCATATCATGTAGTCTATACAAACACACTAAAAATGATGATTGAAATACTAAATATACATAACCTTCTTGTTGTTATAATCTTATATATATAAAAGAAAGTCGTGTCAGTTACACTATTTATAACTCAAGAACGGCTTTACAGATATGGTTGAAAATTGGTGAGGAGGTAGCTTAGAGCCAGGATACGGACAAGGTTCACATTCTTTATCCGCAAAGTCCAGTTCGGCAACGTCCAGCTGTTCTTACCTTCTATCTCTTTTAGGCTGGCTAAGTATAATTTATCTGGATGTATTCATTTATAGGTAAATTTTAGGAAATGTGTTTGTTTTGTTCATAAAAATTACCTTAGTCTTATTGTATTTTTACTACATATTTTTAACCGTATCATTTTGTGTTCTGCATCTCATACTTCTTTATTCTCGTATTCGGGACTTGGTTACAATAAGCGACATTTCTTTTGTCTGTAATACAATACAAAAATACAATCAAATAATCTTGACTGGCTATCAAACATTCAGTAAATTGAACAATAAACCGAAAAATATATATCTGACGAACAATGTAAATAGTAGTATATATTTACATAAAAAGGGAGGGATGCAATCTATCATATTTAAAATAATAAGTTCTTATCGTGATGATTATATCATTAAATTAAATCTTTGTAACGACAATTTCAATAGCAAATAAATGCTATTGAAATTGTCGCGATCTAACTTCATGCAATTATAGAAACAAAGAGATTGGTTGTTTTAAATCACGCGCTCGCTCGCGCGACAGTGTCGTGGCGTGGCATAGAGACTACATTGTTTGTTTTATAAAATGTTCTAATAAATCACCGCTCTATGCAAATGTGCAAAGTAAATATGTATTACGTGCCCATTTGTCTTATATTTACATTGATATTGCATGTGATGTTGACGTATTGCAATATCTAAATGAATTTCCATTTTCTTGTTAGCTATTTATTATCTGTGGTTTGACACATGTCACCATCAAATCATGTATATTTTTCAAACAGAAAAAGGGAGGCGGGTGATGAAATATATTTGTACAAGTATTTTAAGTGTGGAATCCCATTATTAGTAAAATAAATTATACATACGTATAAAATACCCAAACTTGTGACATAATTTGGAAATACCTAACTTGTGACCAAGTTAGGTATTTCCAAATTATCTAACCAAAGTTATGGTTTACATTATGCCAATATGACAGTAGCACTGGCTTAACATGGACTGTTGTTGCTTACTGACGCTAGTTAGTGTTTATATCATGCCAGTTGTATGCCAGTGCCGAATTTGAGAACAACGCATAAGATTTTTCTGATAAATTATAAACATACGTATGACCGAAACTGAAATAAATGTATGTCAGTTTTATTTAATAAAACTTAATTTCTTAAAAAATCAAGAAATTACTTCATATTAGCAAGTTAAGAGGTACAAAATTAATTCCTTTTAAGATCGGAGCTATTTGTAAAATGGAAGAATTCGCCACTTTCGATTACATAACTTCTGATTACAAAGAACTATAGTAAATGAATTTCTGTACAAGGATATTAGTTCCTATAGCACATTTACAAATAAATTGGTCAAACTGTAGTTATAATTCAGTGACACAAGATAATTGAGGGTATCCATTAGTTTATCCGTTGATGAAACTCGAGTATAGATCGATTTCATTCTCGAAAGTCGCCTGTTACTTGGCAGCAGTATTTTTTTAACAATATAAATAATATTTTTAAGAATAAGAATGCATTAATATCATTAAATTTAATGTAGATACAATGTTTCATGTTTAACGGTGAATCTATAATATAGTGTAGCCATTTTATCATCGGTTATAAAAGTCAAGGAGTTGGCTGACATTTTAGGAAAGGCAACACTTATTAGGAATCTGCAGGTTCATTTTGCGATTTCGTCAGTCTTGTTTGGAAAATCCGCAAGGTTAACGACCTATAAAATACGCTTACATGCAATTAAGTACAGCAATAAATGAGAAAAATGTAAATCTTACTAATATTATAAATGCGAATGTTTGGATGGATGCCCCTTAGAATATACTTCCAGAACAGTTGCATGGATTTCGCTGAAATTTAGCGTAGATGTAGAACATAGTCTGGAAGACCGCGTAAGCTACTAATTAAGTTTTTTTTTCAATTTCGAGCAAACGGTGTCGCGTTTGACAAAGATATAATAAAGCTTTAAAATAATAATTTAATTCTATGTATGTTATCAATGTCAAGCCTCGTGTGTCATAACTTTATTAGAATAAAAAATACCTGTTTTTAATATATTAAAATATACCTACTTCACACTAGCGAACTAAGGTTGCGCCTATAAGATATTTTAATATCGCAATGTAAGGCGTCGGGTGTACCAATATGGCGGACGGTCTCGCAAGCCGCGGCCTTGAGCCGAGAAAGCTAGTTACAGTCAAAGGCAATGTATGTGCCCGCCGAAATATTTCGTTCATATATTATCTTCTATATAAATAAAACATCAATGCCTGTACGTTAGCCTTATTCTTTACCAAACCACTAGACAGTTTTATTAAACTTTCAATGCTCCCTACGTTCTGACGGCACTAAAGATAATGCCTTAAAAAAATCTCAAAAAAAATCGTTGTGGGCCGGAGACAAACATTATTTAGAATAATTGAGTCCACAGAAGCCCGCTCGACGTATAAACTACGGCCAACCAGAAAACCGACGTCATCATCAGCTGGGCTACCCAAGTTGAGGGCGACTAGGCCATAGTCAACCACGCTGGCTGTGCTGGTTAGTTCTTACGGCGAAGAAAAACATCGCGATGCAACCTACACATATCTGCGAAGAAATTTAAAGATATTTGTGAAGACAGGCGTCAAGTGGAAGTAATTCCGGGTTTCAGCATGCCTGATGCTATTGGCGACAAAATGCCGAGAATGCCGTGTATTGTAACATGATTGCCGACCAATTACAGAGCTGAGTCGAGAGACAATTGCCTTCAATTGCAATGCAGTTCTAGATGCAATTAGTATCAAACAATTAAATTAATTGTTAATGTGACAGGGGAGGGGATTATGCGTAATACTATGCTTTGAATTATAGATGTTTCTAGAAAAGTAACCGCCAATCAAACCCATATGTGAGTTCACACTAACACGGACTAT